ATTTCCAGTTGTTTCACATCCTAGCAGTACCAAGTGTTACCTGTCTTTATAATTTTAGCCATCTTGTGGGTTGCACATTGTGGTTTAAATTTGTAATTCCTTTATGACTGCTGAAGTTGAGCACTTGTTATATGTTTACTGATTATTTGGATATTCTTCTTTCTGAGCTTCCCATTCAAGTATTTTACCTATTTTTTTATTAAGTTGTTTTTTCTTATTGATCTGTAATTTTTTATTAAGTTGTTTCTCCTTATGATCTGTAATTTCACGTTGATTGGTAATCTGATCTTAATCTATCATAGATCAACACTATCCAATGGCAATATAATGTGAGCAATGTGTTTAATTTTACATTTTGAATGCCACAGTAAAAAAAGAGTAAAAAGAAACATGTGAAGTTTATTTTCCTATATTTTATTTAATCTGACAGATCCAAAATACTATCCTTTCAATATGCAACCAATAAAACATTTATTGAGATATTTTGTACTCTGTTTTTCACTTGAAGTCTTTAAAACCTGAGGTGTATTTTACACTTACACACATCTCGATTTAAATAAGCCACATTCCAAGTGCTGATAGTTAATACAGGTAGTGACTACTGCATTGGATGGACACTGCAGGTCTCGATGTTTTTGTGCTTATATCTTCCTCCATATCTTGGCTTCATTTCTCATTTTTCTAATGGTATCTTTTTTTTTAATTAAGTATTATGTTGAAACAGTTTCAAACCTAAAGTTGCAAAGACAGTACAAAGAATTCTCTTACCTCTTTACCCCAGTTCTTCAATTGTTAAATGTTCTCTCTATCACATGCACGCTCTCTTTTTCTCTCCATATATATATACACGTATATATATATACATATACATCCAGCTGACCTTTGAAAACATGAGATTAAGAGTGATCACTCCCTGCGCAGCTGAACATTCACATATAACTTTTGATTGCCCAAAAATGTAACTGACAGCTTACTGTTGACTAGAAGCCCTACAAATAATATAAAGAACTGATTAACATGTATTTTATATGTTATATGTATTATACAATGTATTCTTACAATAAAGTAAGCTAGAGAATATACAACATTAAGAAAATCATAAGGAAGAAAAAATACATTTACAGTACTATACTGTAAAAAATCTGCATGGAAGTGAAACTTTACATTGTTTCTCATCTTTAATACTTTTTTCCCTGTATTTTCTGTCCTTTTGCATCACCAAGCTTCCAGTCTGAATATGTTCTTCTGATTCGTTTTCCTATTTCTTTCGTTTTTTCAGCTTTTATAATCTGCTTTTAAACTCATGCATTGAATTCTTGCTTTCAGAGATGGCACTTGTTATTTCTACAATTTTTATCTGATTCCTTTTTATTGCTTCTAAAATTCTCTGGGGCGCCTGGGTGGTTTAGTCGGTTAAGAGTCCAACTCTTGATATCGGCTCAGGTCATGATCTCGCGATTCGTGCGATCGAGCCCTGCAGCCAGCTCTGCCTGCTCAGGATTCTCTCTCCCCCTCTCTCTTCCCTTCCCCGACTTGCTCTCTCTTCTGTCTCAAAATAAAGAAATAAACATTAAAAAAATAAAATTCTCCAATTTATCATTTAATTTTCTTGAATATAATTATCAGCTTCAGCCCCTTTGCTGAACTGATTTATTACTTAATGCAATATATTTTTAAATGAGACAAAAATCTACTTAAAACATTATACCAAAAATCAAATGTATTTATCCCATTCAATTAGACCACTGCAGCAGAGTGGGTGGTTTCCCAGAATAATAATTCTTATAATGGCCTCATACATAGCCAAATGAGGAAAGTAGATAAACTGTCTCATAAAACTAGAACAATCTGCATAAATATTAGGCATCCTCTTGATGTTATAACTATGGTTAGACATGTATATGATGGGAACTGCTGAATTCTTAAAAGTCTTCATCAAAAGTGGCCACAATATAAAACTTTGCCTAAATATTCTTCAGTACTAAATAACCACCTGCAAAGCTTCCTTTGCACTTCATCATCATTCAAACATCAAATCCTTGATAATCCTCAGAACTACCTGAAGTTCTACCTTCACTTCTCAATTTTACCATCACACCGTTGCTTATGCAGGAGATATATGTAGCACATCGACAGTAATATTTATTTATTTATTTATTTATTTATTTATTTATTTATAGAGAGAGAGTGAGCAGGGAAGAGGGGAGAGTGAGGGAGCTAGAGAGAGAGCGGGGGGAAGGAGAATCTCAAGCAGGTTCCATGCTCAGCGTGGAGACCAATGTGGGGCTTGATCCCATGTCCTGGGATCATGACCTGAACTAAAATCGATAACCGAACGCTGAACCAACTAAGCCACCCAGGTGACCTTAGACGGTCATCTTTGATTGTACTGTGTTTGGATTGGCAATAATGACAAGTTGATAAATTTGCATCAATCAGGATGCAAACTGGTGGACCCAGTTGTGTGTTATATTAGTAACATAAACAGGAAGATTGATGGGGAAAATTTCTCTTTCTTGAGAAAGAGATCTTTATTGACTTTGTTTTTAGTGTCTGATCAACTTTTTCTTTTAGCCTCTTACCTTGCTTTCTCTTTCTTCCTATGTGTACCCTGTAGTCTGGAGGCTTACTCTAAAATCTCAGTCAAGTACAGTTACTTTAAAGTCCATGTTTGAGAACTCCAATCTCTGGATTTCCTTTGGGTTTATTTCTACTCTTTTTTTTTTTTTTTTTTTTTTGTATGAGTGGCTGTTTTATGTTGAATGCCAAACATTTTGCATGAAAAAAATCATAAGAAATTAGTTGAAGATTTGGATGATTTCTATTCAGAGATTATTTACTTATTTATTTATTTATTTTCTGGTATGCAGTAAGGGTACAAGCAGATCACCTTAAAGCAGTATGGAGACTATATAGATATGAAGCTGGATTTCAGGGTTTCTTGAGAGCTGGTCTATTTCTTATTTACCCTTATTCCCGTAGTTTATCTGTATAGGGTCCCAACTAAAAGCCCAGGGTGTTTTCCAGTCTCCCATCCTCCACGGCCAACCTAATTTTTGGTCCCCAGGTTTCAGAGACACACATGTCCAAATTTCCGCTCAGACCCTGTGCTTCTTGGCCACTCTTTGATTAGCCCATGTTGAAAGGGAATATCAGTACTAACTGTGGCTCACCACTTTGGACTTCCCCCTCTCTTTGCAGTCTTGGCCCTTTATATTCTTCCTTCCTTGGTGTATCTTGGATGCCTCCAAATATATCTTTTTTATTTAGTCCAGCTTTTCTACCTGTTCTTAGCTGGAGTATTCGTCTGAAGCAAACTAGTCCACCAATGAGAAAACTAGGTGCCAAAATATCCAAGTACTTTGCAAGACATGTTTCATATCACTAATAATGTAAACACTAATTTCAAAAATACTGTGAGTACCTAAAAATATTAATATTACCTGATGGGGCGCCTGGGTGGCTCCGTCGGTTGAGTGTCCAACTTTGGCTCAGGTCATGATCTCACAGTCCGTGAGTTCCAGCCCCATGTTGAGATCTATGCTGAGAGCTCAGAGCCTGGAGCCTGCTTTGGATTCTGTGTCTCCCTCTCTCTCTGCTCCTCCCGCTCACACTCTGTCTCTATCTCAAAAATAAATAAACATAAGAAAAAATTTTAAAAAATATTAAGATTACTTGAAATATTAATGAAAGTGAAAATGATCAAATCAATACCAATATTTTTACATTGTATTTATCATCAGTGTTACTGCAATTATATTTCGAGTAGACAGAACGCTTAGAGTAAATTATACAATAATTTTGAGACCATATCGTTGTTCCATTTATAAGCTTTGTTTCTCACACAACCTTCTTCTCTATTATTGGGCTTTCTGCACTATTACTTGTAAAAAATTTTCTTAGTGCTGTTATATATAAGTCAGGCACAACCAATTATTTCTGTAAAGTCCGGCAAGATATCTGAATATTATGTAGGACATGCGACAATTTACTTTGTGACTGGGCAATGCACTACAGAGGTGGCCAGCCTCCCTGGCCCAGTGACCAGGAGCATCCCCACAGTAGTTTTTAACAAGCAAAATGCTTCCGCAAGTTTCCAAAAACAACCCTGCATTAGATGTATAAAATCATCCCTGCAGACAATTCTAGCCTGGGATACGTGTGGCTTACAGGGTCATCTTTAGAGGCCAAAGGGTAGCACAAACCAACCACATGTGATAACTCCTAAAGCTATCCAAAACTCAAAACAGGTTAGTGTAAACATTCAGGACAAAGGTAAAGGCAACAAGCACTCTGACGTTTCTTCTTGGGTTAGGATGGGAGCGCTCATGAGGGGGCTGGAAACTATCTTCATGATCTCTTGCAATTGTCACCTACCAAGTACCAGGACCTGATTGCTTTCATCCTGTTTTCCCAATCCTGCCAACAACCCTGTAAGGAAGAGTTTTTATTCCCAATTTGGACATGAGGAACCGGGTACTTAAAACACTGAAGTGACTGCTCAAGATTTTAAAACCATCAGACACTTCTGTGATTCCTCTGCAGTCCCACTGCTCCACACAAGGCTGCCAACCGTGTTAAAGCCTCGTGCGTGCCCCACTTAGAGGTAGAAGGGGGCAACCTGCGGGGAAAACTGGGTCTAAAAGGGGCCTAATAGGGAACTGTCTAGGCTACACTCCATTTAGTCCTCCATTCCCCTGCCGCAGGCATGGCCCTGGGAGCCCTCTTCAGCAGCACATCCCCGCCGGGTGGCCCAACTTCCAAAGCCCTTCCGCTCAATCCCACACCTGCACAGCCCCTGCAGCCGCGAGTCCCACAACCCTTCCCTGCACCTGCGCCCAACGCAGAGTTCACACTGCTCTGGGACCCAGGGGTGCGCGGGAAGGCGGGGCAGGGGGAGGGTCCCGCGCAGCTGCGCAGGCGCACGCGGCTCCCGCCCAGCAGCGCAGGCGCGCGCGGAGTCGCTCCCCTTGCATTCGCGGCGCCCCTGCGTTCTCTTAGCAACGCTGTACATAAATGCCAGCCTGGCTGCGCACGCGATGTGCTTCAGCAAAGCGGGTGTGCGGGGCTGATAAAGGAGTCAAGGATAGAGGGCAGGAGGGAAGAGTGGGGAGGCTGGCGGGCGAGAGGATGCAGTTCTTCCCCTCCACGGGGTTCGGTCTGATTTTTGTTCTCTATCCGGCCCAGTCCTGGTCTTGGCCTCCACACACCCCACGCGCTCCCTAAGCGCTCACTTAGACCCAGATGCCTAACTCATGTGGAGTTTCTCCTCTTTCTTGATCTTCAGATTCGCCGGATAACTACTCCTTTGGAACATGTCAACAGAGGAAGCTCTTTCCTCAATACTACCCCCCAAACTTGTTGGGGAACAAGTTTATCCCTCTTCGAGGAGCGCCCCACAGAGGGCCTGGATGTTACATAGCAGAAGATGTGAGTATTCACCTTCCCTTGCGTGGGTCTCAGCTCCCTATTCGAGGACACCCAGGTTGCATGGAAGAAAAACACGTAATCTTTGAGGTGGCCGCATAGGAAGGTGCCCTCGCCCTCTAAGGCCAGCTGTCAGATCCAGTGTCGAAATTAAAGGACCCTTGTCTCCACTATCAACACCCACCAACCACAAGCCTCTCTATAAATAGTCTTTTATGTAGTACTCACTCCATTTCCACCTCCAAACGCCTCTGAACCAATGCCTCCCATTAGTCCAACCTTGGTACCTTGCTGTGCTGCTAGGTCATGAAATAATGTAATCTGACCAAGGGTGGGATTAGGGCAAATTCAGCTCTGTGGGGCCCACAGGACTGGATTCACTGGAATGCACAAGTCATTTACTCTACGTAGCCAGCCACGTTTCCTTGCAGATGTATCTGCCTTACTTTATATAATTGTTTCTGTAGTCCTTTTTACTCACTCAGAGGAGTAAAAAAGAAACAGCAACTTTTGCAGAGAAGATTCAGATAAGAACATTTTGAGTTCACTCTGTTTTGATGACTATAATATTCATTATGTGTTTTCTTTCTTTCCATTTTTAATACACTACCTGAAGATGTATGGATTGGCATACAACCTCTCTAGGATCCCAACCAGTAGAAGAGGATATACTTTTGGCGCCAGGACAGCTGTGAGGTTTAAGTCAATCAACAAGGTTAGAAATGGCTGAATGTGCTTTGATTTTAGTGTGACCCATGTTGCTGTATGTATTTGCTGCATGTATTTGCATCCCAGAGAGAACAGGGTGTTACCCAAAAAATATCCCCTGCAATTCAAGAAAAATATTTAGACCAAGGCTGTTAAGAAATATATCTGAAAAACTCAGATGTTAGTATCTCAAATGTGTGTCAGAGCCCTGGGAGAGTGGAAAATGATTCTAGAAAGAACTAGTACCAAGACAGGGCTTCAGGGCTGACACAGATGATGTTACAGAAGCTTTGTTTATATGCATCCTATCATCTTGTAAGAAAAAAAACGAATTCCTACCTTTTAACCCTTTTGTGTGATTGGATTTCAAGTCTAAATGTCTTCAGTATAGGATCCTAATCTGTTGTTGAACATTTTTCTGACACTTGAGCTCAAGGAGAGGGATACTGGATCTAAGAAATCTCTGGGTGGGATGACAGACACAGCAGGTGCAAGGAGTCACCTTGGTCCTTTTCCGCCTATAGGTGTCTTTCTACAGCCTCAGCATATGTGTCTTTAGGTAGCTGAACCCCACCCTCATCTTGGGTTTCTCCCTACTGTAGGTTTAAATCTGTAGCTGCAGTAGTGAAACCATAGTGATACATGAACAGAAAGAGGATCTGTTTTCTTTAGAGGCTTTGTATGTGTGTGTGTGTGTGTGTGTATATATATATATATAT